GACATTTATGGAACGTCAGCTGGTACAGAAAATTAGGAGACATAACTGGAAATTACTAGGGCCTGATTAAACATGTAAGACTCTGACAAGAAATAAAAAAGCACTGTACCCACACATTAGATAACACATTATTTACAGATTTAGTGGGCAGCCCACCATGCAGCAAAAGACAGGAAAGATGACAGAAAAATAATGAGCCCTAAAAGTTGCTCCAGTCACTGATAAAAGGATGCAATTTCATTTTAGAAGAAAACAACCTCACAGTGTATAGGTTGCAAAAAATTAAATAGGGGTTACAAAAAACACCATGATGCGAATCATATCTTTTACCTCTTTTTTTAGTATTAAGATTCCAGAGTAAGATTCCCAGAAAAACAAAAAATCACAATGAAGTAAACATTTTCTCTCTATCTTTTACATAACTGTTGCTGCTGAAGCCTTAATGATGCCACATTTCACTTTCTCATTCCATTTTTTCCTAAATAAAAATCTACATTAAGCAATGCACTACTTGATTCACAATTTAGAAAACTGACCAATCAGAAAAGTGATTGCAGACCATTAATTGGAAAACATATTAATTTCTCTTTTATTCTCTCCTGTTTTCTTTTTTTTGCATAGCCTCTATTTCAATACAATTCACCCATATAATTGCTGTCATTTAGATGTTTCTTTGCTCAAATAGTCTCAAACCCTTAAAAAAAATTATTCAAATAAGACAACATTTTTGATTATGCCACAGGTCGATGTTCCTCCTGTAAAAAGAACATTAACTTACATAAATCTGGTCTTGACTATAATTAGGCTCTATCGGGACTGCTCTTTTGGACACACTCACTTGTATCACACCCAATAAGCACAGTTAGAAGTGACAGAATGCAATATGCTGCGGCTTTATTACTCAACTCCTCTTTGCTGTACCTGAAAACATACACCTAATCACTCCCTGCCTGTAGCCAGCTCCCACGCAGTAGCAAAACCAGGGTCAAAAAACCCCCACAGTATAATCTGTCAGTTTTCATAGATAGCGCATAAGCCGTCAGGGAAGAGAATGTTGTCCACGTTAAGGATAATATTGGACAATCTTCTACACCCTCTCTACAATGTGTGAATCACAGCAGCCTATTTAGTGATTAACCAGTTCCATCTAGAAAACACCAAAGGAAGTCATTCACACCCCTGTCAATCAGTTGTTCTAACCCTTTTATTCTAATATGCTTCTGTAAACAAACATCTTTAATTTTATGTCATATTTTTTCATTTTAACTGAGCAGCTTTCTTTCTTTCTGATTCTGGTTCATGTAGTTGACTTATAAGTGCAAAAGAAGGCATTATGTTAAATCCTTCAGCAAGGAGAGAGGGATATACTGTAGTATCAATATATATATATATATATATATATATATATATATATATATATATAAGGGTATATTACAGGCACGTGCAAACAAGCAGTATTTATCAAAATCTTGCTTTTGTTAAAACAAAAAATTAAGAACGTTTTAGTAAAGACTTGTAAGTCATTTTTTTTTATAAAGCATTTATAGGTTTGACAATAGTCCAAATAAATAAATCCCATGGTTCAATCTTTAGCCCTGCTATGGACTGGCGACCTGTCCAGGGTGTTCCCCGCCTCTCGCCAGTAGACAGCTGGAGATAGGCACCAGCAGCCCTCGTGACCCCGCTTGGGATAAGTGTGACGGAAAATGGATGGATGGATGGTTCAATCTTCCTAACTGAGCACAGTTAAGTGAGACCTGGATAAGCTGTCCTTAGTTCAAATTCTTTACATTACAAACATAACGAAATGAAGTTACCTAAAACTGCACAACACTGCATGTAGCTGATCTGTTATTATTACGCTTTATATTGACTTTGCAAAAAAATTAAAAAAAATTTAGTCATTAATTTGTAAACAAATTAAAATACTGTCCACAACTGGGTAATTCACAAATGAATATTTTTTTTATATACCTTAAATCATTTTATTAACCTCCAGACGTTGGCATGTTGCTTTACCTCAATATATTTGGACAAGAAAACTTTCTTTATTCCGAATTGCCGGATATTTAGAGTTTCAAATCAATGGAAAAGCTACAAAACATATCAATATTTCTGCAGAGTTTAAAACAAAAGATCAATATCAGAAGAATCTCCTTTTGATTATAAGACACCTGACACTTCTTATGATAATACCATATTATTCCTTCAATGTTCTTCATTGCATTCTCTAAGGATAAAGCATTACGGCTCTCTAATACATGTAAACATCATCCTGTGGGACTGTTTACAGAACATTGATAAGATATTCAAATCCGACTCATATCTAATACATAAAATGTTTTACATCATAAGTTGACCTGAATGAGGCATCTACTGTTGAATAACCATTATAAAAGAGTCTTCTCTTCTCTAACTTTCCTTGCTTTTCTCTCTTTCAGTCTACTCATTGGTAAAGCATGCATGGTTTTTCTGACCTCCACTCTTCTGTCTCTGTTATCTTTTCATCTCCTTCTGTCTCTGTCTATCTTCAAACAGCTGTGTTTAATCCTCGCTTCCCTCAATTTCTCCCCCGCCCCCCCTCTCCTCCACCCCGTTCTGGGCCGTTAAATGAGCGGGTTTATCTAGGCCTAATTGGTTTAAGGGCAAACAGAAATAAGCAATGACCCTCAGAGCAGAAGAGAATGACTTCTGCTGTTGCTGTTTGAAGAAGAATCCTTGCAGCACTGTGATGAGAAAGAAAAAGGCAAGAGTCAAAAGGAAAGAAGAATCACAAAAAAACTAAAGAGGAGAGAATTTTGCTGGAGAAATAAGAAGAGCAGGAAGGTTTAAAGAGAAGTCGGTACATAGAGCGAACGGATAGGAAATAAGAAACGAAACTAACATGCTTGAAAAATACCAGTGTGTGTTTTTCTGTAATATAAGAGCTGTTCAGTTCCTTCAGTGTAAGGTTAATCTCATATACAAAGCATCTTAATTATAAATTGGAATATGTTTCACATTACATTTAACAGGAACGTTCCATGAAAAAATTAAGACGGATATGATTTTGTAGATATTCTTAATTGGTAACTGCACAGGAATACATGGGGATAAATAAAGAACATGCAATTAGTTAAATAACTATGAAGTTATGAATGCTATTTTTTCATAGTCATCCATGTATACTAGCAAGTTAAATAATATATCAATACATCAAATTTTTAACCCATTATTGGCTAAAAGTGTTATAGAAATCATCTATCTGTGCAATATCAGATCAAAAAGGGGGGATAGCCCCATAACCAATCCAGTAGGTAGTGTGCTGTGAAAATTTCATTTAGATATATACACAAATTAGTTCAATTTATTCTTATTACAGACTTCTTTACTTAAAACTCTTATATGCTTGCCACTCCTTATATTGTAAACATTTTCCAAAATACCTCTTTTTTAGTGCTTTTACTCTATTGTGACTAGTTTATCAGTATGTTTATGAGTTGCTAACCCAATGGGTGTGTGTGAAGTTACAGGTCAGATATATCAATTATTTCAACCATGCATCAGTATGGGTGAAATTATAAAAATACACAGACACAAGCGAACACACATGAATTTGTGTTCTCATAAGTTGATTTGGACTCGTCGTCAGATCAGGAATGGGTTACATAGACTGGTGTCAGACTCCACTTTCTCTCATGTGTATCAGAAAAAAGAAAACAAAAACAGAAGCTAATTGGAGTTTAGATCAGTGAAGATTTTAACCTTCCCATGTGGCCACCTACTCTTCAATTAGCAACCCAAACAAGAAAATCACTTTAATCTTTGATAGGGAGGCAACCCATGGGCAATATCTGTATACCCATTTGCTTCTTTCTCATCCCACACCCTCTTTTACTATGCAGTTAAATGCTACTTTCTTTCCCTCCTATCCAGCCTCTCGTCTCTCAACTGTTTGCAATAATCTAACATGAGATAAACATCCAAACCTCAAAATTATCATTCTCAAAAAGGTAGCAATTTGGTATGTTGCTTTGATATGTGTAGCCAGGGTTAAAATGGGATGAGCACAAACAACAGAGTAAATCCAAGAGCTGGGAAGGAATCTAGGAGCTGACAACAGAATGATTGAAGAGAAAATCTTTGTATTGAGGAAACTAATTGTGATCAACTCATTTATAAGGGGGTAGATAAACAGAAGCAAGTGAGTTCCTGTCTGTGTTGTCAAGGGAAGCATGAAGGGAAAGACTTACACACCCATGATTGGAGGCAGCTGGTTTTATCTACCCAACAGATATACTGGCTGAGGCCATTCAGCCCAGAGTCCCATCCCATGAGGTAACACAGAGGAAATGAAAAACACATTTAACTGAGGAGATGGTGGCTACTGTACAAGTGGAGGCTTGTCAAGACCAGTGTCTCAAAAAAAAAGAAAGAAATTAAAGATGCAAAACTGGAAACAGGAGAAAGAACTGCATATTACGCGTTATCTTTCATGCGTAAAATGCATAAGTTCAGAATCTATATGAAATGGTGTTTATGAATAGATGCAATAGGAGGGATTTTTTTGGAGATAATATGAGACATGAAAAATAGGAGATACACAAAATATGTATTTAAGTCAATAAGAAAAAGGGAAAAGGGTAATTGATCTGAGGATAAAAAACAAGAGTAGGATAAAAATGAAAAAAGAAAGATCAAATCTATGTCCTATGTTTTCTCAAGCAGTTACGTGTGTCGTTATAAATGTGTTTAAATGACACAAAGTTCTGTTGATCATTAAAAAAAAAAAGCACCAGCACTGCGGGGAGATGCTGCTCCATAAAGACAGAAGAACCGAAGCAATCCGAAGCGACCCACGTGTGTGACATCCCTGGAAGCCGGGGAGATGCAGGCACTGGCCAGCAGAAACACCAGGACGCATCTCCCTCTCCAAAGACATCACAACGCGCGCAGTACAAAAGCAGCGTTTCCAACATTTGTAGCAATGAAACCTATCCAATCTCAGATTGGTTATTTACCTTCCATCGCAGAGGATGTGATGACCAGGAGGGATAAAAGCGCAAACAAATCCACTGACATGGCAGAAGGGTTAGTCTCCACAAACCTGTGTCCCATCCAAAAAAAATATATGTAATCAAGACGCACGGCGCGCGTCAAGGAAAAGAAATCCTTCGCTTTGTCAGCGCGGTACTCCAGCAGACAGCCTCTTGTTGTGAGTCACATTTCAAGCCGTAGTAAACAATGTGTGACAATCAGCGCTGAGGGAGAAGCGAGTGTAGGGGCAGATGGGGGGGTGTGTGAAGTTGGGGAGGATGGGGTGGAGGGGTCCGAGGAGTGGCTATGGGAAAGTGGAGGTGGGGGGGGGTACGATGTTGCATGCTCACAGACTCATTAGAGGGTCGGAGCCAATCAACGACTTGTGGCTGAAACTCACTAACCAATGGCCAAGCCGCCGCTCCACCTACTTTGCATTGTCAAAACACAAAACTTTTCCTTGACCTATTTGAATCGGCCTCCCGATGCACTGAAGGGACATGACGCCACCACTTGGCGCGCGGCCGTTACTGCATCTTGTGTCCCTCTTATGGTCCCGTTTTTTTCTTTTCAGTCAGCCACCTGCCTGTGGCTCAGACTCACAATTTGTAAAACACTTTAACAAGAGTGTCACCTATAACATTCACTTTTATTTGCAAATACTACTGTTTTTGCCAGACATTTTATTCCAACATTTTCTAATATAGGTGAGGAATCTCTGCTATGAAATGTCATGTTGATTTAACTTCCTCACAGTTAAAAAATAAAATAAATAAATCACTGCCTTCATTTGCATCTCCTTTGATGGCTTTGACAAATTCAGCTTTACCTCCCAATGCTTTTTAACAGGCATTGCACATCAATCCTTTTCTCTCACCGTGGACCTCTCACCCTCTTTTTTTGTGTGCGTGTGTGTTGCAACAGATGGTCCACACAATGGGTTTTCCCCGCAGGGACACAAAGGACCAGACTCTGCTTTGCGGAGGAAGAGGCAGTTTCCGCCCTGTAGCCCAGAATCATACACCTGTCTAGAGCTAGAAATGTCCCCCCAAATCCCTAGAGCTGAGAAACTGGAATGGAGTTGTTAATCTTCACACTGAATAGGCCTGATTTTACTCCAGGCTACTAATACTTCAGTGCTGTCTCTTTGCAGCACACTGGCCTAGATTTGCACTAGTTTAAGTTTTATCACAAGCTTTATGAATGGGATAGGACTTTTCATTTTGTGTGTATGTTATTAATGGATGTCCATACAGGAGTATTCCAAAGTAGGTTTTAACATTTTGTCAACATCTGAACTTTGACTGCACCACTCTAACACCAAAATAAGGATTGATCTGATCTACTGTATTGTAGATTTGGCTATGCTTTTTGTGATTTCGTCCTACTTTTCTAACAGGCTTTCTTTTAAGAATACCTAGCGTTTAACATCATGCATCACCCTAAATCACCTACCAGCTTCTCCAAAGTTAGGCCCCTTGACTCCTTGTCTGATTAATGCTCCCCTTACCTAGCTGATCAGTTAGGTTGTCAGCCCTGTCTTAGTAAGTTCTTTATAAATAAGTACTTAGTAAGAGTAGTTGCATTTCTACAATCCAAAAATCTGTAAAACCAAGTAAAGTGGGTTGGCTACTATTGTACACCATTTTTTTTCTACAGATTTTTATCAAACCCCAAGAATGCAGTTATTTTTGTAAAACAGGAGTTAATATCAAGCTAAACTAGGTTTCTGGCTGTAATACAAATGGAAAATGCAACGTATATTCATGCTTTTACAAGGCAATAAAGCTTAATTCACTTATTTTTATGTTTGAAGAACCTAATGAAGAATGGGTTACCAATGCAAAATATAAGACTAAAAGCTAAATGACTGTTTAACTTTTCTCAGGCAATTCTACAGGTGTTTACAGTATATGTAATGATATGGATGCATAATAAATGAATCTCCGAGCTTTTCAAGGCTAAAACGCTTCAAGCGTAGTTGGAAAATAACAAATGAGTTTTAATTAAAGGTCCTGTAAGTACTGAGTTCTTAAAACATAGTTGGGTAAACAGCAGCCAAGTGCTTCTCTATGGATCTGTCAATCAAACTGTTATAATGCAGATGCCAGCTAATAAAGAATAGCTTTTGGCTATTGCCATCCTCTGATTTTATCCATTTTGCATTGCTTTTTCCCTTCTTCTTTAGTACAGCCTAACTGAAAATGTTGGTTCTGTGTAATTCCCTTTTTTTCCATGGTCTTCTTTTTGCCACTGTGACATCCTAGTTACCTTACTGTTGGACACTAAAAGTACTTCTATTCTATTTTTTATATACCATGTTTTATACTCTAAAGACACAAGCTAAAGATGATATATTGAAAAAAGTTTCTCCTTTTTTCTTTCAAAAACTTTTTTCTCATGGGTATTGCAAATGAAAGGCTCCAGTTTAGCTTTTGGAGAATATAAAGTTATGGTGCACAGATCTAAAAAGATGTGTAGACAGCAAAATTCTCATAGCCCCCCTCCCTCCCAGTTCAAAAGCACAAAATCATTATCAAACTTCTGCAAAGAAACATCTGACACACTGAAAAAAGTCATCTGAACTTTTTAAGTTATCAGAGGTTTTTTACGCCTCCAAGCTTAATCAAGTGGTTACTTTAAAATGACATACTCCATGGGTCAGTGGTTGACAGATCATACAGGCAAAACAAATAATGAAAACATTTGAATAATTCATCCGAAACAGAAAGAACTAGCAAGGATTTTTACAGGAAAGCATCCCACCTCCTATTATATGAAAATAAATAGAAAATGGCTTTTGGATCATTAAAAGTGCTCTAAACCACCTCAAAGGTTTGGCAACGGCCCTGATCTCCTTATCAAATCACGAAAAAATACTCTTTGTCTGGGCCTCAAAAAACACTGCATGCACAAATCTCGCACTTCATTTTCTAGCCACAAAAAGAGAAAAGTAACTTAAAAACACAATTTCTGAAGCTTAATATGCTTTGAGCTAATGTGCCCACTAACCATGGCAGTTTTTATTTCAGTCTGTCAAAAAATGAATAACTTTTTTTATTTTGATGTTTTAACTTTGTATAAGGTAATATCAGCAATAAAATATTGATAAAAAGTAAAAATTCTTTAGAAAATTATGAACTTGTTTGTGAAGTTATCTCATTTCACATAGATCTCTGTACCAATAACACATTATAATCAAAAGTATTTGCTCCTCTGATTTTACTCACATATGAGCCTAAAAGACATCCTATTCCTAATCCATAGGGGTACATGTACATTATGGTATTCTTTCCATCTTTGCGATTAGCTTAAACTCTTCTTGGAAGGGTGTCTAAAAGGTTTAGGAGTTTGTTTATAGGTATCTTTTACCAATCTTCCAAAAGTGCATTTGTGAGGTCATGCACTGATGTTGGATGAGAAGTTCTGGCTCTCAGTCTCAATTCTAATTCATCCTAAAGGTTTTCTATTGGGTTGAGGTCAGGACTCTGTGCAGGCCAGTCAAGTTCAATCAAACCAGACTGTCATCCATTTCTTTATGAACCTTGCTTTGCATACCACTGCACAGTCATATTTGAAGAGGAATGGGTTAGCTCCAAACTGTTCCCAAAAAGTTAGGGGCATGCAATTGTCCAAAATTTATAGATCTGCTGAAGTATTCCGAATTCCTTTCCCTGGAACTAAGTGGCCAAGTTACGCCCCCTGAAAAACAGCTCCACACCATGCCTGTGTAAATTCTCAGGCATCTGGGTCATGGCAGCCAGAAAACAAGCTTAAATTAGTAGGCAACCGGACTTTGACTCAGTTTTTTTCTGATTATGTTTCAACACCTATTCAGACTGGAAGGTTGGTGACCTCTTCGCACTATACATTTCAGCATCCGCTGACCCTGCTAGGTTCTTTTATGAGGCCTGAGCTGCTGTTGTTCCCAGACACTTCCATTTTCTTATTATGCAGCTGAGTATGGAATATTTAGGAGTGAGGAAATTTCATGACAGTTTTTTTTTTTTTTTTTTTGATTGGGAAGCATCCTATCAGAGTTCCAAGTTGGAAATTATTGAGCTCCTGAGAGTGACCCGTTCTTTCAAAAATATTTGTAACAACAGTCTGCATGCCCAGAAGCTTGAATGTACACACCTATGGGCATGGAATTGAATGGCACACTTGATACCAATAATGTGGATGGGTGGGCAAATACTTTTGTCAATATAGTGTCCCCCTGCTTTAAACATTTCCTCTTTTTTGTGTGTCTCTTAGTGATTCAACTCCTAAACATTTACAATGACAGAAATCAAATCTGCTACAAATGAAAGATGGCTCACACATAATAAATGGTTGCTCTAGTTCTAGCAAACTGATGAACTGGGGCAGACACAGGGCTGCAGGAGCACCGTGCGGCTGTTGCTAACCTGGGAAAGCAGTTGATGGGATCATTTGTCATTTTTAATGGTGTGGTGAGAAGTGGCACTAAAGTGAGGCATAGCATGGCACGGCACAGCATGGCCCCTGGTGTTGGCCTCTTACAGGCAAGCAGTCTTATTTTTCACCCACCATCCGAACATAGGCCTGTGGAGAAAGGCTGTCCCTGTTTGCTGTCCCCACCCAGGGGAGAAGGAAGGAAGGAAGAGCAAAGGGGAGCAAAAAAACAATGGTGCTTGTGCTGTAGCACATCCTCTCTTAAAATGTAGACACAGACTAACAACCAAAAGTAATAGCATGCCCATTTACTGTCATTCACCTACACAGCTCCAAAAAATGTTAAAAACAAAACCTTCCTAACACTTATGTACTTCAGCTCAAGGGCACCCACATAATATTAACACTGCACCCAAACACATGACAGAGAGACTCTTATTCTTACTCTGACCTAATTTCCTGTCCACGTAGTTAAACACTGCCAGTGAACACCCTCCTTCTATTTTCATTCCTCTCTTTCAGAGCCAGATTCACAGCATGATCTGCTGCTGACCTCACCGGCTCAAATAATATCCAAGTTGAGTTTGATTAAATGTGCCTTATTGCAGTGAAGTCTGTGAGGATACCCTGAAGCTATGATACTTTTGACAAGTAAACATCTAACTAATGTCTTTTTAAATAGCTTGCTATGATAGATGCCTTATTTGCCATTTTGGATTAGTTTTTTGTACCAAGGGTAAGTGATAGACTGACTGATGAAATACAAATATATAAATTGAACATGCAATGTTTGGGTCAAATAGACAAGTTTGATTGGTGGCATGCCATTTGCATTGGTGGCAAAATCATTG